CTATATGTGGGTCATCCATATTTTGCCGACCTTTACAACCCCATAACTTTTTTATTTATGAACCGATTCTTAAAATTCAAGAAGCATAATTCTTAGAATTGAACATTCTTTCTTAGGTACCAAAAAAAAGGGCTAAAGTGAAAATTTAAATTTTCATTGGCATTGCTAAACAACTGGCTAAGCATAGAATTTGAGACTCACGATCGGACAAGTGAAAATAGCATGCTTCATGCCACTGTGGTTGGTCATCAAGGTTGACCACTCTTTGCTCACAGTAATATGTCATTTAAACCCATCCAGAGATCATATCAGTTCACTTTAGGGTGGAGGGAGACCATTTATACCGATTTTGGGCCTTAACATGGGTCACCTTAGATTCTTCCCTTGGTCCGTCGGCTAAGATTCCCTCGCCTAAGAAAAGATCTCACATTTTCTTTGCTCCCGAGCTACGGGATCTTAGAGACTACTTACTGTATTTGACATGTATTTTTAACAACACGAGGGGTGCCCCCCGACCAAAAAAAAACCCTAAGGACTTCAGGGGGGGGGGGGGATGGGAAGCGGGAGATGCAGGGTAAGAAGGTGAGTTGAGGGGGGTATAGCAATGCCAATCGTGCCCGTGTTCATGGCAAAATTTTTGCAGGTGTATTTTTGGACCAGATCGGAAGGTGGCTGACTAACTTCCTCAAACTTGTTCGGCGCTATTTCTATGAATCCCCGGTTGGTTATTCCAAGCCCGTTCATTGGTCACTCGAAGTAGGGTAATGGTAGGCGCACGCATCCGATTGGTCTTCTCTCTATTCCCCTGTAACATCGTATTGGGGATATTCCAAGGCAAGCATATCTCGCCTCAAGGTGTTCGCACCACAACCAGAAAAAAGGTTTTTAGTTGTACGGCATGTTAGATTGAGTTGAATTATATTTTATGGTTGGCATGGTCTAAAGTCATCAAAGAATGTTTTGCCTATATTAAGTCACGCTACCAACATATTGTTAAAGATCCCAAGTCGTGAAGTGAACTTTCGCAGAGGTGAACAACTTGTGTTTCGCGCGCTCATATGACCTTAGCAGTTGCGAGCGCCGTAAAACCTTATACTATACATACATAAAGATCCCATGTGGCACACCTCTATGATTGGCCCATATATATATGACGTATTTCCGCCATCTATTTTAGTCATCTTCCGGGGGTTCCCTCGCCAGTTGACTTGATCTCACCTTGGCGGGCCCACTTTGCCACTTAGCGTGCGATGAGCTACGTCATTAGGTTTTATCGCTGACTGCTTGGGTTATGTGTGCACGGGCGCTTGTGTCTTTGTGTGTGTGTGTGTGCAATCGCGCTCGTGTGTGTGAATGTGTTTGTGTGTATGTATGTATGTGTGCATGCGCTTGTTTGTTTGTGTGTGTGTGTGTGTACAACTTTGAGGAGAAGGTAAATTTATGGAACAAAAATTGCTGAATAACAGATAACACAAATCAATACAAAAACACAAACGTCGAGATCTAGTCAACAGTTACTGGCGAGGGAAACCCAAGAGTCTTGGGGGAAACCCCGGAAGACAACAAAAATAGACGGCGGAAGTACGTCATCTATATAGGGCCAATCACAGAGGTGTGCTAGGTGCTTGCTGTAGCTTCATGTAAGTAAAGTGCCCTCATCTCGACACCCTTCTTTCTCAAAATCGAAATATGTACACCAAAATTTTAAGTATAACAAAATAACTACGAAATGAATACATGTGGTAAATCTGACTACTGAAATGATTTCTCCACCCAAAAACACATTGAGTTGCCAAGTTTCTTTCAAACACTCCAAATAATTTCTGAGATTTCGTCGATTTTATGACAGAATCTGCTGTTACGTGGTCCACTTTTTAGGAGTTTTGTCGTATATGTCGATCATCCATGTTTTGCCACATTTTGCTACCCCATAACTTTTTAATTTTTTTTTACCGATTCTTTAAATTCAAAAGGCATACTTCTTAGAATTGAAAATTCTTTCTTAGGTACAAAATAAAAAAATTTCTAAAGCAAAAAATCAATTTTTCATTGGCATTGCTACCCTGTATATCACCATAATTGAATTTTTAGCACTTACGATTGATATTTTGTTGGGGAAAAAAAAAATTTGCAAGGGTTTTAGTGGCATTTCTGCCGCTAAAATTTACGGCAGGTTAGCCCCCTGAAACAGTGCATGTGCATGCAAATCTAAAAGAAATTTACCCAGTGCTGTTTTTATGATAATAAACCCATGAACCTATATAATATACTCGTGCGCATTGGCTGATTTGGAGATACTCTAGACCTGCCATCATACCTGATTGAACTTGATAAAATCTGAATTTTTTTCTTGAATTCCATTTCCGTCAAATTGTATGCAGCTTATCATAATGTTATGAAAATACACATTTTTGTTTCCATTTATTTTGCAGTAGTTGTGCAACTTTTAAATTGCTCAAAAATACACATTTTGCCATGCGTTATTTTGGGTGTATTTGCTATAGGCCTACACTTTTATTTGCCACACTCAGTTTATTATGTAGTCTCAATCTACTGGGTTCTGAAGACTTCAATTTTTTTCTCAAACTCCTATAATATTTGGGGGTAGGATTCTGGGGAAACTTCTATTTTTGGTCATGGAACGGTTTCCGGGTCAACATGTCTCTTATAAATTTCTGTCTTAGTGCAGGACTTCTTGTCAACTTCAGCTAAAATCTGATGCTTGGGCCTCTATCGTCAGACAATTAAGTATTAAGTTTTCTCTTGTCTGCCGTCATGAAAAGAACCTGGTATCAATAAAGGATAGACAGATGGATAGTACATGCACCTTGTTCAGCGTTAAAGCAAGAGGAAGCAAGAGATTGGCAGTGATGAGTCTTGCAGCTAAAATAAAATTGCTCTTCCTAGTGAGATTATGATTGTGACAATGTAATCCACATTGGTCAGAGCACGCCTCCAACTCTTCTTGTGTAATCCGTGTAATCACCTCCTGATCTTTACCATAACATTCAAACAACCACACATACACACACATGCATACAAACATAATTCACACACCATACAGCCCAATGCAGTACCACACTGTCTTTGATCACACCCCACCACCCATCCCTCCCTCACATGACTAGATTCTCCCATCTTTTATTCAACGATGTCCTAGGTGTCGTATAGTCTATGTTCCATGAACAGTGAAAAGACCAAGGGATTGCTTGATCTTTCTTCTGTGTTACTATACTGTTGTTCTGCACTGGCATACTTTGTTGCCAGCCAACTTGACCTCTGAGGCAAGGTCGAGCCCGGGGCTCACTACCTGCGAGCTCTGGACTTTGCTGACTAATGCTCGTCTGTAATGATATAAAGCAACATGCACTTTATTTTATTTTTCTGTCTCAAAAGTTCAGTTTAGAAATAATCAAATGATCACTCAGAGAGAAAGATCCATTGTACAATAGTATGAGTTTTATGTACTTGAGAAATAAATGATAACATGGTAAAAGAAGCCTTAAGTTTTCCTTCAAGCACTTCGTTGTTATCATACATATACATGTAATATACATTTATTATTTTCCAATTGATTGAAATCAGTGGACCAATAGATTTTCACTTTAGGTTCTAGGTCATATTTAAACTTTCCTACACTGATGTTTTTTAGATTAAACACAGATTTTTTAATGTTATTGTTGATTTGTTCTCGTTTTCCTATCAATGCTGGTATAAACTCTGGAATCCAGCCAGTGCAGGGATACCTTTCACTTAAGGCTATCATTTTTTTACCCTTTTATCTTTTTGACTTGAAGCATGTTTCTTATTATGTTTCCAGAATGTTGATGTGAGTTTAACGGAGGAAACTTTGGACTTCTCTTCTCAAGGACTTGGAGTTAAAGGGGTCAATAATTATGGCTTCCATTTGGACTTTTATTTACCAGTGGATCCTGAGGTATGAATAATTTGCACCAGATTTGCAGCGTACTTCAGTTAGGTTGTGTGAATATTTTTAAGATTACAAGTCAAGGTTACTTACACAAATAAAACATTAGACGGTATGGTAAAAATTACTCTCCAAAACTTTGTGTCTACAGTATTCATGAGCACTTCTAACTATTTCCCTGTTCAAGACAGGCTCATAAATTAGTCTCTCTCTCTCTCTCTCTCTCTCTCTCTCTCTCTCTCTCTCTCTCTCTCTGTCTCTGTCTCTCTCTCTGTCTCTCTCTCTCTCTCTCTCCCTCTCTCTCTCTCTCTCTCTCTCTCTCTCTCTCTCTCCCTTTTTTTTTTTTTAAAGGGATAGTGCGGCAAGTACAGAATTTTGGGATCGAGGCTTTGGGTTTCGCAGGGGAAAGTTGGAAGCACTCTCGGCACCCATCACAAATCCAGTAGTTTAGGCACCTTAATCAGAATGGCAGTAGTACAGGTCCAAAATAAGAAACTAGATCTAGATCTACCAAAAAAATTGTATTTTAGCCAATAGGCTTAGACCTCTGCGGTAAGAGCCGGTATGTCTTCGACAGGTCATGACAACGCGCCTAGCTTTTTTTTTACACGACAGGTCGTTAAAAAGTGCAGTTTTATTTACACAACATGTCATGAAAATAACGGCTGCCTTTCTGTAAAGCTACACTAAGGGGGCTCTCGTGGTCTAGAGGTTAAGGTGTTTGCCTCTCATTCAATATGTCCTGGGTTCAAATCTGGATAGCAACGGGAAAATTTTCTTCTCTAAAATTTTCTTCTTTCACATCCTTTCCTGCTCTCTGGCAATAACAATGTTCTGTAGTCTGCTTTCGTCTCCATTTTCTGCCCCCACCTCCACAACTCTTTTGCCCCCTCTTTTGGGCTCCTGACTCTTTCTGCAGCCTTTTTACTGCTGCTCCTTAGCTCCTTCTTACTGCTGTCTTTGAGCCACACCCCTGATTTAATGGTAGGAAAGATCTACACCTAGCCTTCTCGGAGAAGGGCAAAAAACCTTGGAGGTCCAGTGTGCTATTTGCGCATGTTAAAGATCCCCTGGGGGTCCAAATTGATAAGAGCAGGCTTCAGCCGCCACCCTGGCAAAATTCAAAATTTCCTACCAACTAAAAATGTGTCAGCCGCTCAAATGACCTTATACATTTGCAAGCACCATAAAACACTTACCAAAAAAATAATAAAAAGATACACTAAAAAGTTTACTTTGTGGTGGCTGTCACCAGAGAAGGAATGAGACTTTCCAACAGCCTCTTTTTCATGTGTGCTTAAGTCATTCTGCTATTTTGTTCCTATACATTCCATGGTCTGTTTGTTTCCAGAAAAGCCGCTACAGAAAGACAGATCTTGCTGTTGAATTTCAAATTGAAAAATCAGCAGGTGAAACATGGCCACGGCTCACAGCTGACAGAATGAAACTTCCTTGGTTAAAAATTGATTTTGACAAATTCCCTGTTGACGATTCTGAGGAAGAGAGTGACATAAGCAGCCCTGAGGTTTGTGAAGTGCCATCTTCTGGTATTTTGACAGGGACAGGGACGAAGAAAAAAAATTACATACCCTAAACATCTTCAGATTCAGTCTTTTATGTGCATTTTACTCAATGATTTCAGGCTGAAGAAGAACTTTAGATTTTCTTTATATGTAAATGTTAATAAGGGGAAATTGAGCTGTGAATAATAGACAGCTTTGTTTGACAAGCACCTGCCTTAAAAATGTTATACCTTGCAAAGATTAGATACTTAATTAATGCTCCTCTGAAAAATATAAGTATGCAGCATCTTTCCAGGCATATAACATTGTAACTTAGTACAGGCACACATAAAGCATAATCATGAAATATGAGAGTAATTATGCCTTCTGGGGACAAAAATTACACAGCGGTACTGAATATAAAATCATCTAACGCAGAATAGATGTCACTGACTACGAGAAAGCATACAAAATAAACGTCTGCTGTCATTTGTTTTGTTTCCTTTCTACAGCAAGCGCAGGAAGCTTTGCTTAAAAAAATCACCACAGAGTTTGGAAATGATTCTTCATCTAAAACAGAGAGTGAGTTTTTGTATGTGTTGTAATTCAAGTGGTGCATGAATATCCCACTAATTTGTTTGTCTTCTGCTAAAATGGTTGTTTTATGTTTTTAGGATATGAGTGTTAGTGTTAAATTTCTTTAAGTATGTATTAACATAAACACATTTCTTTTATTATTGGTAAAAAACTAAGAACATAATATACAGTCAAATCTGTGTAAAACGGCCGCCTATTGTCAAGGAGAAAAATGGCTGTATAACACAGGTGGCTGTCTTAGGCAGAACTGATCAAAAAGAAAAAAGCAATTCCTTCTCTTCTGAGGTCCAATGCGGGGCTGGTCTCAGGCTTTAGACTGCCGTGAGGCTAATTCAAAAGGGTTTTTGTTTTCTTTTGAAAAAGGGGCATGGGTGTTGTAAGAAGGGTTTTTTTGTCTGTTGTTGGTTTGTTTTTTGGTTAGCTTTCTTTTTGTTGCTGATTTTGTGCAAGGGTCAAACAAACTAAATACTATGTAAGTAAGACGATGAAGACCGAGTGCCATGGTAAAACAAACACACGGGTTGCCACCACTCGGAGAACGAGCTACGCTTCTGTCACAAGTTCACGTCATTGTCCATTGTTACTTTGTTAAAGATTAGGTAAACAAGACAGTGACGAGTCACCTCACACACGATTTGTGCATGAGGTGTGGGTGGGGCTTATGGGTTATGACGGATCCTGCTTCCCTCACCAGCAGTTGAAAATGTATTGTTAGGCCTGCCCATTGGTCAACTTTGGTAAACATTCACTGGAGGGACTAACAATAATGACAGGCGAATAGATTATGACAGCCCGTCCACAGCGTGAGGGGCAGATTCAAAAATTTATGACAAAGCGTCGGGCAATGAGTGGCCACACCTGGCCGCCTGAGGCAGGTAAATTTGACCGTGGGTTGATAAAATAAGGTGGCCGCGGCTGCATTGGACAGGTGACTGTTTTACACAGTTAAATTATGTAGAAAAAACGCTAGGGGGAAAATGGAAAGTGGCCGTTTGTACAGGTGGCCATATTATACAGATGGCTATCGTTGCAGGTTCGACTGTATATCCATTGGTTTAATTTAACATTGTTTTCTTTAAAAAATTGGAATAGCCTACGATTTTTTGGTTGGAAAAGATTTCGTTGGCCTTTGTCTTAGACTCATAAAAAGCTGACAAATGCATTATGTTTGAAACATACAAGTTGGATGGACATTATAAATAGCTGAAGTTGTAAGAAACTCTATATTTAGTCTTCTTGCCTGCTTTGGTTTTTCAAAGCATTGAATAACATCTGTTTCCAGCTGTCTGATGTAATGGATCTTAGAACAACTATTGAATATGAAAAGTAAAAGATGGTCGTTAGGAAGTAACTTATCGTTAAAGGCTTTTCCTGTTGGGATTTTTTGTGCTCCTAATTATCTAATAAGTAGATACCACGGTCTGAGATGTAGTGGTTAGGCGCTTCGCTATTGCACACAGCAGACCAGACCAGAGTTTAATTCAGTGTGGGGAGAATTTTATCGAGTATCTCAGTCTGTCAGTCTTTCTGCTGGGACGTTGTGTCACTCTCAGTCCGAGTTGACCCAGACAGGCAGGGTTGAGCCTGCTTCCTAATTGATTTAAATCAATCGTGTCGATGGTGGCATTAAAAACACATACAGATTTTTTTTTAATGGAAAAAATGAATAGATGTCCAATGTCTTCCATCATTATACCACTTCTGTTCTGCTACATGATTTTTTTTTTCAATGAATTCCAGTTAGTTTCAAATTTTATTAGCTCATATTGACACTCGTTTATTTGTCTTTACTTTTAAAGGATAACGTTTTTCCAAACTTATCCATCTGGGTGACTGCGAGGCCCGAGGGCCCCAAGAATTTGGGGAAAAAATCGCAGAGCCCCGGGAATTTAAGAAAATCTGTAAATTGCCTCGGGAAAGACTTGGGAAATTACATAAAGTTCTCAAATGTTTAAAAATCAAAGTTAACACCACAGGACAAAAAAACTGAACTTGGAAGCAAAATTTTAGTGTTTAGAATTTTGATTAGAGCTCTCTGGAAAGTGCGCTTTGGTGCAGGCATTGTATGGAATCAGGATCAATCATACTTTGTAAACCATGTTACTGAACCATGTGTTTGCGTTTCATTGGATGTGTGATTGTAAATTATTATTATATTTTAGCTTTCTGTTCAAGATTGGCTGCTTTTCAGTGTCAATGCATTTTGCCCTCCCACACTTCTTACAACTCTCACACGGAATAGGTCTACTTACCCATTCAAGTTTTGTTACTCTGCTTTGCGTTTCAGCAATAATTTTTGTCTTTCACGTTCATTATATGAATCATGACACCCAGACTGGTTTTTGACAGTCGATATTTTGGTTCTGGGCCTTTTGTCAGGCTCAAAGCTGGATTCATTTTTATATAGTTTATAGACCTATGTATATAGGAGAATATATGGTGGAGGAAATATAAATAAGAACAGATGAAATAAGATAAGAAGATAAGATAATACTTTACTTTATTATCCCGGGGGAAATTTCTCTTGGCTGTGCGGGACCGTAAAAACACATGCAGGTATACATATAAATTTAAATTATGTATTACTCTCATTAAAATTCAAGATGAAAAAAGAAGTAAAGCTGACAAAATGTACCTATCACTTCAGATGCACCATTCAACCACATACAGGAATTTAATTACAAGACCTTTAGAGTTATATAGATACAATACATACTCGAAAGAGGAATACACGTTGATGCTTATTCTGACAATAGCCTTATGCTAGATGGTAAATAACTTCTTTTATATCTTTCTTTCTTTGTTTTTAGAGGTACATATCTGCCACTGCGTGATCTGGACAATTTGCGTGGAAGTGTTGTTGACTGGATATAATGTACCTTTGTGAGTGTGTGTGTGAGTGTGTGTGTGTGTGTCTATATACGTACACATAATATACATAATATAACTAGATATGAATATATAAAGTATATATATATATATATATTGTGTCTGTGTGTTTGTGTATATATATACATAAATGGAGCATGCGTTGTCATTGTTATGTAACATGCCTCTGGTTTGGTTTTATTTCAGAAAACATGTCTCTGTCCCAGACCTATTTATTCCTGTACAACTTGTTCCAGTTTGTCGGCTACACCTACATTTTTGTCATCTTGTTGTATCAGTACATTAGGACTGGAGAATGTAAGTTTTGAATTTGTTTATTCCATAAATATCTGTATGTGTTCCTTACCCACAATGATGATAAAGAAAGTTTTGGTATCTGATGTTTGGGGCGTAGAGAAAGCGTGACTAATGCTTGTGGACATTTAAGTCAGTAGGCTCTTAGTTTGTCATGGTTTTCACGTCTATGACAGATTTTTGTATAATCTGCCTGGATAAATATCAAACATGTTAATGAGTAAGTCTAAGCATTGCATTCTAGTGACTTAGAGATGAAGCCAATTCACAAAATATTTGATGCATTCTTCAAGTTTCCTCAATGTCTATCCATCATTTCCTTCATACCTCTTCATCATTAAGCAGATTCTTTTAGACACTCCCCTGGTTTCCCTACCTATTGTTTGTGAACGTGTTTTAGTTGCATTATGAACCTGAACATTAATTGTGGTTGTTGCTGTTGTGTTTTGATACCATAATTAGTTCTGTAGTTGAAAAAAGATTAGTGGTTCTTTTACTTTCCGGAACAACTGCAAAGCATAATATTCTTTACACTTTGGAAAGGTGAAATACTTAACCCCTTGACTGCTAACCATATGCTAATCATATATATGCACCTCACATGCTCGGGAAAATTCCACTGTGTGCAAGACGTCACAGGTTACAATCCTTAATCGACGTTTGTTGGCTTATTGTAAGAGACAGGTCGATAAAACTTATACCAATAGAAAGAGAAATGAAGAGATGAATTCATCTGTTGGCAACAAGACCTGCTGAGAACAAGCCATTATAATGATATAAACAATTTGAAAGTACCGAGACTGAACAAGCACTCCGTCCACACAATGTGTGTAAGAAAGTTTACACACCTCGCTTTATTTTATTTATAACAAAGTTCGCACTTCCTATCAAACTATATGATAGAAAGAGAAATGAAGAGATAGCAAACAACTATAAAGTACTGAGACTGAACAAACATTCCAATTTTACACGTTGGCTCTGTTTCATGCAATGTGTGTAAGAAAAACAACGCACCTCGTTTTGTTTCAGGTTATAGAATCCACGCTTCCCATCAAATATTAAATAAATATTACCTCATAACTAAAACTGTAAGCTTTCAAGGGATTTCACTCCTTTATTCAAAAGATAAAAGAAGCTGAGATATCGATGAAACAAAACAGGAGTTTTAGCTGCTGTACGGGATACTTTTACAGAGCACTGGTCAACGGAGTCAAGGGGTTAATTTCATTCTTACCTTGAAATAAGTTTTTATTTCTATTGTGAAAATTGTACCCCTTTGAACTCTGTAAGGTTATATAAGAGGCAGGGCCTCCAAATTTGATCCTCGTGTCTGACAGAATCAAACTTCTCAGAACAACCTATGTTAAGAACATCCCATTTGGGGATTTGAATCAGGGCGATCCGCTCTGTAGTCCAACATGATACCAACTGAGCTAACATCAGGCCCTTTTGCATATATGTGTCTTTGATCTTAGTTCTTAAAATTCTGTACACAATGTAAGTAAAGCTTTCAATGGCTCTGTTTTATTCAACTTATGTTTCATGTTCTATTGTTTCCAGCTGCAAAGCAGGCTGCTTTCGAAACGACAGGGTCTCAGATGATGGTCTGTCAAATTATAGCAGTATTAGAAGTGATACATCCTATGATTGGTCTGATAAAGTCCAACTTCATTATGTCATTGGCTCAGGTAAGTCACTGTTATTTCAGTCTCAGGTAAAAAAAATTTAATGGAGATGAAAAACTATCATGTCAGTTTTTGTGATTTTAATTTCATTAATTTTTTTCAACATTCACCTCATTCAGTTTGTTTGTTTTTTTACTTAAAAGCTCCATATCATATAAATTGTTTTGTGGGATCGAACTAGATGTTCTGGAGATTGAGCAGAATGATCTTGTTTCACTCTGTTTTTCTCACTTGAAATCTGAAAATAAGAAGAACAAAACCAACATTTCACCCTGAAAGGTAATCTATAGTTTTCTTTAATCAACTTCCTTGCTGTTCAAAGCTCAGTGCGGATAATTTTCTGCTGAAATGGGAGTGGATGGAAAGTTTCCTGTTTTCTCTCAATATGGAGATTATATGGCTTAGACCTTGTAAATGAAAAGAGGGAGGAATTTATCCATACGCAAATTGAAGCAATTTGTCATTAACTGGTGTGTATTTTTTTTTTGGGGGGGGGGGTGGCAACACACCTGTTTTTAATTTTTTGACTCGTAGACGGATGACATTGGACAACTAAAAATATAAGCAAAAAGACAATATGAGTGATGTTGTGTAACACTTTTCACCCACACAGCGCGCAACACTTATCCCCACGGACCAAGATACGGGTGTGGTACACGCTATATCACACCCTCGCCGATCGACGTCCGGTGGGGAAAAGGAATGGCTTCTTACCATCGCCAATCGGCGTCCCGTGGGGGCAAAGTGTTAAATGAAAATGCAGTTTTTACTTAGTATAAAAGATAGAAAAATGTTTTATTACCCTTTGACCCTAAAATTCTATTTTAGCAAGACAGCTCTAATTTCCCTGTGCTCCAGGATCCTGCTTTAGAGGGATGGACAGCAGCCCTTTCCATTTGTACTGTTTTATTTCTATTCAATGTGAATGAAATAAGCTATTCAGTGCCAGATTGAAGAAAGAAGGAACCAAGAGTCTGTGTTATGAAATTTTAAGAAAAGAAATGTGTTTGACGCTGTTTGTGATGAGCTGATCAGTCCCAGCCATCAACATCAGGGATAGGTGCTCAGGTGTGGGGGGTCACGATAGGTTCAGGAGCTCAGGGCTCAAAGGGTTAAGTTAAGAGATATGAATTTCTTATAAAGAAATTGATGTGAGGGATTTCAAATGGTACTTGGCATCTGTTTGTAGCATTTTTTTAAAATCAATTTAGAGTTTTCACACGATAATAATTTTCAGCTGAAAAGAGGTTTTGTTTAATTTCTCATCCTCACTTTTTGGGGGGTTTTGTTACATATGTAGACTTTTTATCAAATCGTTTGTTCAGAATTCCAGAATATTGTTCGTCTTAAACACCAGAGGTTTGGGTTGAGTTGCTGACCAAATGTCAAGTGCCAACCATCCAAGTTTAAAAAGTTAGAAGTTTAAGACTGGGTAAATCTAATATGTATAGAACCAAGAATGCAATAAAATGGATTCTTTTGACAAAGTGCTTTTGCCTGTTTTATGTGAATAGTAGTCTTTACTATTTTTGTTCAAACGTTGTGACTCACATTTTTTACCCCCTTTTTTTTTTTACACCCCAGGTTATGGGAAGAAATTTGATTCTGTTTCTTCTGGTGCTGCAAGAGCCTCGTTTACAAATTTCTCCTATGTGCTGGTACCTCTTCGTTGTGTGGTCATGTGTTGAAGTTATAAGGTGAGATGTTAAAAGTAGAGAAAAGAAACTCTTTTTTTTTAACCAGTAAAATCAGGACTTGAAATTTTATTTCATGTAATAATCAAAAACATTTATTACACATTCACTATAAGGTTGTCTCCCCATCAGTCTTTAATGTCACAATTAGCTGCAATTTGCTATCACTTCTGCGAATATATAGCAAGAATAGTGCCAGTTGTCAGTGTGTTCCAGTGAAAGGGCTAGGATAATTGCTTATTCCACAAGGGGATTTCAGCTGTTTCGACTACTGCTTTCCCTCCTTTCTCCACCAAATAAGTGTCAGATAACATTAGGTCTAGAATTATATTTCAGTATTTTAGAAAATCCAAACCTTACTGGTGCAACTTTGAAACCTGTTTGCATCTGTTATAATAGCTTACAAACCATCTATATTGTATATTTTTGCTCTGTGAACACCTCCACATAGATCTGACATAATGAATAGGTCCTGCCTTACTTTGCCTATCAAAAAGAGAAGTGCAAACCTGCGGTGAAACATTACGCACATACTAGTGGAACAGGTTTATAAAGATGGCTTGTATTTGTGACCTGCATTCTATTTGATACATTTTTAACAACTTTTTACATTTACTTTTTGCTCTTCATGCATACTTCTCTTATGAAGCTTCTAAGTTCCTCTGCACGCCCAGCTCCATTACCATTAAACACTTTGGTAAAAAATTATGAATGTAAATACTCTTATTTTCATTCACAGATATCCATTTTACCTACTGCAAATAGCAGGACTAGAAATCAAAACTCTAACGTGGCTGAGGTACACAATATGGATCCCACTCTATCCCCTGGGTATTCTGATTGAAGGTAAGAATAAAGGACCCACTTTTATTTTCATGACAAATCACAGGAGTTACCAAACAGCAAGAGATAATGTAAGTTTGACCGTGATCATGTCCATTTCAAAAACAACATCAGCTCGTATTTCTATTCAACTCTAATGGGAGAGCAAGTTTATTATTTTCCACTTTGAAGAGATCTAGATCTAGTAATTATTGATACTAGTTGAAATTATAAGTTTGGCATACACTGTGATTTCAATTCTCCAAATCATGATAATATAAACAATAACTTGTGGACACAAGAAAATAAGTCTTCAAATAACAAATGATTCTTCTGTAAATGTGGTTCTCATAATTGAGGAGTCAGATGCAGGGAGAGATGAGCTTATCGTCAGTGCCGCAAGCAATCCACTGAAGTCTGTTTAGGTACTGTTTACATCTGAGAGAGAAAACTACTTTTTGTTGCATTGCTCCTATTTTAAAAGTTATGGAAAGCAAGAAAATTTTGAGACTTGACTAAAGTTTTAAACTGCATTTTGATGATGTTGAAAGGTGGATCTTTCATAGAGCTTTGACAGGGTGTAAAAATGTACGAAAAGTCTCAAAATTTGAACTTAAATGGTTTGCTTGCGGCAGCGACATTATTCCAAGATAAAAAAGGATTAAAATAAATAGGAACTGTGAATTTTGCTTACCTCCAGAGTTGGACAGCTGACAGGAAAACATAGAAGACAGTGATTCGGAAGGCTGTAGATGAGAAAGAAAGAAGAAGACTACCTTGCTATATTTCTGAGCATCTTTTTATTGAAATGATAAGAATACAAAATACAGAACCAAAATTATGGTTCTCAGTCCAACTGTTTCAGTCATATGAACGTTTGAAGACATTGAAAAAAAAATTGTTATTAAGTCGCGAAGCACTATATCCATCCTGCTAGTGCCGCAAAGAGAAGTGCACACTCAGAGGTCTGTGCCAAAAGTTGGATACTTTATAAATAACTAAAATGGTAGTCTTCTTCTTTCTTTTTGACTACAAAGTTTGTTCATATCTTTGTTGTGTATTTACTTCAGAAAATGTTTGGTGTTTATTTTTCAGCCACCATTGTTGTTATGTCCATCTCCTTTTTTGCCGAGACTGGATATTTCAGCATTGAACTACCTAACTCTGCCAACTTTGCATTCTACTTCCCCTACTTCCTGGCAACATATTTAGTCTTAATGGCTGTGGGTAAGTTGCACCATGTTTCATATTGAGAAAAAAACAGAAATGTTTCCCTTAATTAATTCATATCTGACTGCACAGAAGATGTCTTTGAGCCTCCTAACCACGTTGCCACTCATTACCTCTTTTGTATCAAAGTTCTTTCTTTTTTTTGGTAACTACCCAACTATAGCACGTCAAAGTTAACATACCAGTATATATATATATATATATATATACACAAATATCAAATACTGTCGAATTTCAAGGGAGCCTGAAAAAAAATTCCATTTGAGACATTTTCCATCTTGAACAGGGGAATTTATGGAGAGGGGGTTTCAGAGGCCCAGCTGATGGGATCAAGGATTACTTGTCTTGTCAGCAAGCAGTGGTCAAAACCTCACACCTCTTAAGTGCCATCCTTATAATGAAATTATTCTTTTCAAACAATAAGATTTGTGTAACCTGAGAGCAAACATTGACCAACCTTACCCATATGACATACAAGGTCTTGGATAACCCATATGACATACAAGGTCTTGGATAACCCATATGACATACAAGGTCTTGGATAACCCATATGACATACAAGGTCTTGGATAACCCATATGACATACAAGGTCTTGGATAACCCATATGACATACAAGGTCTTGGATAACCCATATGACATACAAGGTCTTGGATAACCCATATGACATACAAGGTCTTGGATAACCCATATGACATACAAGGTCTTGGATAACCCATATGACATACAAGGTCTTGGATAACCCATATGACATACAAGGTCTTGGATAACCCATATGACATACAAGGTCTTGGATAACCCATATGACATACAAGGTCTTGGATAACCCATATGACATACAAGGTCTTGGATAACCCATATGACATACAAGGTCTTGGATAACCCATATGACATACAAGGTCTTGGATAACCCATATGACATACAAGGTCTTGGATAACCCATATGACATACAAGGTCTTGGATAACCCATATGACATACAAGGTCTTGGATAACCCATATGACATACAAGGTCTTGGATAACCCATATGACATACAAGGTCTTGGATAACCTTTCCATATATATTATTGATAAGTGCAAAAGGGTCTATGCTTTGTCTTTTCCAATAGAACATAAATTCTTTCATGTGTGTGATGGTCATGCTCTTCTTCATTTGCAGCTGTATCTTTTATATATGTGTATTTGGAGGGAGGAGGGGGTAAATGATTATCATTTGTTCTTCTGATACTGATAGCATGAGTTCTTTTACCTCTCTAATGTTGTTGCAATGTGCTACATTTTCAGTGCACATAAGGAAAACTATTACTGATAAGTTATGGCTACTCAAGTACAGTCAAACCTGTCTGAGATGACCTCCCATTATCGAGAAGAAAAGTGATCATCTTAGACAGGTGGTAGTCTTGATCAGTGTCAAAATAAAATTATTTTAAAAACACTAAAGGGGGAGGTAGGAAGTGGTCTTTAAAACAGGTTGGACCGTATATTTTTACATGTTTTTCAGAAGATTGTAGATTACAACTTTTTTATTTCAGGTGGCACAAATAATCTGAGTCACATGCGCAACCAGCGGCAGAAGCAACTGTATGGAAAGAGCAGCTCAAAGTCAAAAGTGAAGTCATCTTGAGATGAGATCACAAGTATTAAATTTGCAGATTAATTAAATCCTTCAATCTTTTCCAAGTCTGATTGTACAGTGGTCTCTGCTTAAGAGCATTGGGAGACCAAACAAAAAAACAGGCTTTTATGCAAATTATGGTTTTAGCCTGATTTCATGGGCCCCATTCAGCCTTCAGCTCCTACTAGGTAACCCCCTGGTTTCCAACCTTGCTCTCAGTTGAAATATGAATCATGGGCAATCCTTTGGCGAAAGGAGCGATGTTTGGAGTTTTGAGAAGTTGAGTTTTGTAGGATGTTTTTTTTACCACATGGGAGGAACAGACTGCTGGACCAGTTTTGAAATACTACTAAACAGTTGACCAATTTTGGCATATCTCAAATGTATGCTTAGACATACTGTGTTAGTATGCATTAAATTTTGCTGTCCACAAGTCCATACATACCCTGCCCCCACCATCCCACTATGCACTCGTTCTACCCCGTTTCCTTCAGTTTGATTAAAAATAATCGGCCGAACAGTTACATCAGATCATTTTTATCTGTGTACCAATATATTTGAAAGTGGACAGTGCCATTTAGGACAGAAAGTAGATGAAGGGTGTGAGACTGTCAGTGTTTTTCCATTCTTTCTTTCATCCCATATATATCTTGTTGAATGTCGCATTATAGTATGTATTTGCTGGCCTTGAAGCAGACCTTTAGGCGAAAAAAAGTTATTTCAGTCAACTCAACTAGGTTTAACGGCAGATTCTCATTTTTAACAAGTCCTTAGGCATGTAAATTATAGAGAAAAAAATCTCTTACTTGGTCAAATCAGGCTCTCAGGTGAACCAGTTACACATTTTGTTCTTAGCTGGAGACCACTGTATCTTGTGACATTCTTCTTTATGTCCAAGATGTGAGTAGATAAGTATGCAAAGAGAGTCTCTTGTCCTTTATTTAAAATTCTTCGAGCAAAAATTCTGCTCACTCAGACTTTGAAATGGATTTTTCTGTTTTCTTTTTCCTTGTTATTTTTCTGGGATATATGTGTTTGTGTTTGTCAGTTAAGCATGTTGACATAAATGTCAAGAGGATTTACTCAGATTTTGCAAAGACTTGTGGACCTTCTACTGATGTCATTGCGTGCTCAACATTGAGAAAAAGAAGCCCAGATCAAAACATGACGTACCAAGTTGCAAAATAACTTTCCATTTTTTTTACTTGTGTCTTTCCCATGCTATTGTATGTTGAGTGGTCGATGTATGCTGAAGAAGGCAGGATGGGCTACTGTGAGTGCTTGGTCTGATGAGTAACAAAGAGCATGTAGGTTGTCAGTTTTTGAAGAAAAAAAAAGTCATTTCAGTGAATGTTGTCTTGGTTGGGTTTTTTTACTTCCATTTTATGCTACAGTGGAGCTTGATATCGGTTGGCATTATCAAGGTCAATGTGAACAGCTCTTTCACTACAAGTGATAAAACCCTCCCCTGCCTTTTAGGCCTCCCTTTCAACCCTCTAGAGTGGGAACCTCACCGGCCAGTCTAGACAATCGTTTTTATTGGCTGCTTGCTTATAGCAGTGGAAGGTAGGAGTTTTTCACTGGTCATGTGCAAGTGATAGATCTCATTTGTTTATTATTATGGGCTTATTTAAAGATTCCAGTTGTTTTGTGCCATAAGCAGTCGTCAGATCCATTTTCTAGTCTGGCTTTGGCTTTTTTTCTACCACCCTTTGCTCTATGGCTTTTTCTTATCTTTCTTGTGTTATCTACTGTTTTCGTGTATGACTTTTGTGGTTCTGAGTTTTAAGAAAGATTTTCAATTCCACCAATTGATTTGTTTCAGTTCATTTATGGATTACCATATTTAAGACATTCTTTATTATCATCAATTTCATCTTATGGTACTAACAAAATGTACTAAGCCTTTGTATTCCAATAGATTTCAAAGTTCTATGGTCCTTTCATAACTGAATCTGTTTAGCCCACAGTCTGTTGTTTTTGTGGAAATTTTACCTTGTATTATGGCTTATTATGCGTATTGTTTACCAAAGACGTTTCATTTTTTTTAAAATGTTTTTCCCTCTGTGGCATATTTAGCCGAATCTTCCTCCTAAGTTTTAATTCCAAACTCATAATGGTACAGGCTGAATATTTGTAGCTGACCCTTTTTATTTGAAAATTACTTTTGTCTGGCAGAGGATATGTAGTGATAGGTTTACTTTCCCTGTCCTGTCGATGTCAATCTTGGTTCTGAAAACCACAACTATTTGTGCAAGTGTAGTACGGTACTCTCTAGTTCTCGCAGCAGGCCACAGACGTGAGGCTGGGAACTTCTGATAATGTCCTTGACAAGAAAAGCCTACTTACTAATAAGGAGTAGGACTTTGATAAAGGGCATGTTGTGAAAAATCTAAATTATATATTTTTTAATTTTTTTTTGGGGGGGGTGTTTGATTTTTCTGGAAATTGTATACTTTATGAAAACATGTTTAATCTTGATGAAGGAATTACCCCATCTTCATGACGGTCAACCTAAGTTGTCATTTCTCTAATTTTCTGCCAGTCCAAGTGACTCTATTCAGTTATTTAGTGGTTTGCAGAGTATCTTTTGAGCTATCCCCCCCCCCCCCCTCGTATGAACATGACATGCAGTTGTCACTTTGTTCAAGCCCTCTAAAAGCTTTTTCCAGTTGTGTAAAAGAACTGCACTGTCATAATATCATTATTTAGTGAAGGTGTCATTTTTGTCTTGAGAATCAAGAGTTCCTGTTGCATTGTCAAATTATCTAAGAACCAAAGACTTGATGATAAAATAGTTTTTCTGGTGTGATTTCGCAGTTCTCAAGGAGGCATAAAAATGAGAGATGATATTTATGCTAAATGATTTAAGTATGTTCAGCTCATAATTTTTTAATGATAGCTTGAAATTCGTAATAAGATAGGAATATTTGCGTTTTGTATTATTTCTCTTACAAAAGGTATTGTATGTGTAGACTCCTTGCCAATATGAAATTCATACTCATTTTGTCACCGAAGAGTGTTTCTGACAAGTTTTGTTGGCTTTTTTCTGCACTGAAGCATTAATGAAAGCCTATCAGTATCAGCAGCAAGATTTATTGAAGTGGTTAACACTGCAACAGTTTTTTCCTCTTTTTCTCTTTATATGAGGACCTGAGTTTGTTTATTAATACGTCTGACTGCGGTAGGTCGTTTTATATAAGATTTTTTTTTTTCATTTAGTGAAACCTAATATATTCCTTTAAAAAATGTATGAATAGTTTGAAGGTTTTCAAGTACATTTAGAGTAGAAGAATATTATTTACCAATATGTTGGGGCTTGTTCATCTTCTTCATTTTTATTTTAATTTAATGGAAAGAGAACAATATCAAAGTAGTAATTGTTGGACTTGTTAGTTTTACTTTACAGATGGCAACGATTTGTAAAACAGTGGTGATGATTATTTTTTTCCTCTCTCTTAGATCATAGAACCGTGTGTGTACCAGTACCTCATGTAGACAAGAATTAAATTTGACAGTAAGATTAGTTAGAATATCTCAGTGAAAAGAAGTTAAAGTGCTGCAGGAAGTACTGCTATCTTTTTTTTTTTATCTTTTGTGTTCATGATCATTTATATTATATTATTATTATGCCCCTTCCATATGACTAGGTTTTATGATTACAGAATAAAAAAATACTGAACAGAGTTCTTTTGTTATTGACTATGCTTATGTTACTTTCACTCCGCGACCCCTTTTACCTGCGTGCACTCTCTGCCTTTCACCCCTCTATACACTGACTCACACCTCAGTATGCGCCGGAACATTAAGGATAATCTAATATTAATCTGTTATTGTCGTCGTCTGTCTTTGGTCTACATGGTGTTGGCTCTGTGTGTGTGTGTGTGTGTGTGTGTGTGTTTCTTTTGTGTTATTTTGTGTGCAAAATCTTATTTTTACCTTTACGACTTTACGAGGTTGACCAGGTAGTCTTTGGCTTTCTAACATCGTGGTGTCCAAGCTACTGAAGGAAAAGACCTCAAAACTTTAAGTCTTATGTAGAAGGTGCTTGATCCTGCCTGCCTCAGTAGTGGAGATGTGAAAACTGAAATAACCTTGGAAGTTCCAGCTTTACTGTGCAAACTGTGAGTTTGTAATGGTATACTTATATACTCATTATCTTTGGTATGCCACACTCTTCGACCTTGAGGGAAGGGAAAGCAGATGTGGTTATTGTGTCAGGATATTGCACACACCCTCTCCTTGTGCTCCCCTCACTATTTCGTACTATGAACTCCTATTGCATGGTGATCAGCTCTGCATTATTGTATTTTTGCATTAAGTACCAGTATCACTCATGTCAAAACTTGTAAAACATATGACAATCATCATCATCCAGTGCCTTGCCGACTGGCGTGGGCAATCATGGACCTTCACTTCACTCTCTCTTGGGTTGCAGTGATAGTGTCTTGGGTTGCAGTGATAGTGTCTGTCATTCTTGCTGTTACCAGCCATGTTGTCAACCTGTCCAGTATCTTTTCCCTCTCTCTGCCTCTGCCTCTCTTTCCATCAAACTTGCCTGTTGCTACAATATTATTCTCCAATGCTTCTTTCCGCATTGTGTGTCCAATTAACCTTGCCTTTCGTATTCGTATTATATTCGCCATAAGCTGTCGTCTGCAATTTGCTTCAACCAAGACTTCTTCATTTGTTTTTCTAGCTGTCCATGGGATATGCTGCATGCGTCTTATGAACCACAACTCTGTCACTTCAACTTCAGTTGTTCTTTCCATCTGTCTATTTATTGTCCAGGCTTCTCACCCGCTTTATAGGATGGCTCGATGTGACTTTTCAGTACTTTTTATTGTTACCAGTGACAAGTTGAAGTTTGTAAGTAGGCCTATCTGTTTCATTTTGTGGAAGGTTGCTTTTGCTTTGGCAAATGCGGTTTTTAATTTTGGTGTGACATCTCTCATCTGACAATACGAATGCAAAAATTTTTTTTTTTAATTCAGCCATTGTATTTGTATACTAATAGATCTACTTGCAGCTGGGGGGGGGGAGCACTTCAACTCAAGTGTATTATAACATGTGAACTGAACAGAATCGTTTGACTTAACAAATGTAAAGAAGAAAAGGTGCTGGGGCCTGAAAAAAAAGATCAACTTAACCAAATATAAACTCGAGTGACTTCAACACAAGTGAAGTCTGCTCACGGATGATTGATGACCATAATGAAAGTGGCCAAACTCTCTCTCTCTCTCTCTCTCTCTCTCTCTCTCTCTCTCTCTCTCTCTCTCCAAAGAACGCTAAGAACCCTGGAGACAAAAAGGCAGTTTCTAAGGCAGATCCAAAGGGCACCACTCAGCTCGTAGTCCTACTCTTATCACTTGGCGTCCTGTTTGGTTTCTATTATTTTTTCTTTGTGTGTGAGTTTAACGGCGCTCGCAACTGCATAAGGTCATTATTATGAGCGCACGGGACACATTAAACATTGTTAGGTTGTTGTTTTTTTATTGATTGTGAATTTTGCCCATGTGACGACCGAAGTCTCCTCTTATCGATTTTGGACCACCAAGGGATCTTTAACGTGCGCAACTTGTGCACGGGACCTCCGAGATTTTTCGCCCTTTTCCTAAAGGCTAGGTGTTAGAATAGTTAGATCTTACCTATCATAAGATCAGGGGTGTGGCTGAAAGACAGCAGTAAGAAAGAGCCAAGGACTAGCTGTAGAAAGGCTGCAGAAAGACTCAAAGAGTCAGGGGCCCAGAGGAGGGGACAATTTAATGAGAAGGGGGGAGGGGGCAGAAAGTGGAGACGAAAGCAGACGACAGAACATGGTTTGAGAGTAGGAAAGGAGGTGAGAGGGAAATTGTCAGTCGCTGTCCAGATTCAAACACGGGAACTATTGAATGAAAGGCAAACACCCTCTAGATCACGAGAGCCCCCCCCCCCCCCCCCCCCATTAGTTTACTGGCTTATTATCTACATGTGCGAGGGGCATGCCAAAAGTTTGTTTTTTTACCTGACTATGAACTAATAAAGGTAGAAAGCTAAAAGTAGGGATGAAAGCCAATAACCATCTGCCTAGAATGTGTGTACATTTTGGGGAATTTTCGATTGCTGGTTTTAACACAAGCGCACCGTTAGTGAATGGGGGTATGTTCTCCAATTTCGACATAAAAATGGAGACAATTGAGCACAGGGCAATAATAAAGTTTTTATTCTTGCACAGCAAGCAACTACGGAAAATTTTTACGGAGATGTATGCCGTATATGGAACTGACTGCCCATCCTAAGCTGTGATTAAATTTTGGTGTAAACAATTCCAGCGCAGATTCGTGGACATTGAAGATGACCGCCGTGATGGTCGCCCAGTGATAGCAACAACAGAAAAGAATTTGATGAAAATCAAGAAACTTGTGTTGTCTGATAGTCGAACATTTGAGCAGAGAAACTACGTCTCTAGCATTGGGTCAGTTGAACGAATCTTGAATGAACATTTGAATATGACCAAGGTTTCTGAGAGATGGGTCCCATGTTTGTTGACTCCTCCTCAAAAAGTACAATGTGTGGATTTTTGTCAAGAATTGCCTGGTCTGTATGAAAAGGATGGAACAAAATTTTTGAAAGACTTGTAACCATGGATGAGACGCGGGTCCACCACTGCGATCCTGAGTCAAAATCTGCATCAGTGCAGTGAAAATCGCCCTTGTCTCCAACACCAAAGAAGGCAAAGGTGCAGTCATCAAGTGGAAAAGTGATGCTATCAGTTTTTTGGGGACCAAGAAGGGGTGTTTATGACAGACTACATGTATCTTGAAAATGGACATACGATCACCCGAGACCATTATTCTAACCAGCTAAAAAAAAATACGAGTCTATAAAAGAAAAACGCAGAGAAAAGATCCGAAAAGGCATTTTGCTGCTTCAGGACAACGCGTCGGCACACAATTCAAGAAAAGCCGCCGAAACTGCGTGATAAAGTGGCTATGAAATTTTGCCACACCCCCCTATTCTCCAGATGTAGCCCCTTCCGACTTTTTTTTATTCTCCAAACTGAAAAAGGATCTAAAAAGAAGTCATTTTGCAAGGGATTATGTGGTGGAAGAAGCAGTAGATCTAGAAGGCTGGATTCCTAACAAAGACTAGCATCTGCGTTTGTCGCGCCCGCGATGTTTGCCATGTTCTGGTCCGCGAATCGCGGCCGCGATGTTTGCATTTTTCAAAGAAACAAAAACAAAACCGCTGCGGGGGAATTAAAAAGAAAAAAAAAAGAAAGAAGAGAAAAAGAAACCGACCTTTTTTGCTTTTAGAAAGAAAGTTTATTATCACTTCAGCTTCACTTTGTCTCTTTCTCACTTGTTGACACCACATTGATCTGTTATTTTTTACTTGAAGAATATAAGTACATCACATACTATTTATATTGCTGTTTCTCTTTTATTTTTCCTTCTTTATTGTGTTTTAATTTGTTGGTGTTCTAATTTTTTTTCTTGTTATTGTTCTGATGTGTTGTTTTACTATTTTTTATAGCATAATGTTATTTAATTTGATGTTGTTCCTATCTTTTTAAAGTATATAAATGAGTTACGTTAGAGCGTGTCTCCACCAAAACCGAACACTGACATTGGCAGCCCCCTTGTGTGTGATTTCATAATTTACATGTAATATCCTGTGGGGCTACTTTTTCTGGAATTACTCACGTTTAGGGTTAAAACGGCCAATTTTCGGATAGGTGGACACACGCACTTATTTGTTAATTTCTGTGGTTGTTTATATGTGCTGTTCTAATTTTGATTTCATTCTGTTGTGAAACCTTTATTTTTCACATTTTACACTCTGTGTGGCTACTTCAATAATATTCTGGATTCTGCACATGAATCTGTTTAGCCCAAAATATGTCTGTCTTGTAGTGTATTCTACAGTCTGTTATTTTTTAGTCCGTTAGTCGCGAGAAGGTTCAACGTGAACAGACACACTGTGTATGCCACACGGGATCACATGGCAACGATATGATCCCAAAAGAACAGACACAAGTGAGTAGGACGCAGAAAGACGAAACGGAGGGTGGAGTGCCACTGACTGTAGTGTCTTTAGGCCATTCCCAAAGGAGAGACATTTCTCGTCCAAGCATAGTAGAATTGTAAATGGGCTGACTCATGTTACGCTCATAAC